ATATTCTTTTGACATTATAATCTATCTCATGTGCTCATGTCTCAATGCATCGGATTAAATTTCCATAAAATTTTTTTCATAGTCATTTCATGTGGATTTCCAGAAAATAAGAATTTACCATTCAATGTGTTAATGTTCTTGCTCTATGTCATGAAATACTCATTATTTACTATTTTTAACAAACTCAATAATATTGATGGATGTACTATATTCATTTATAGAAGTCAATCAAAAATTTGATAAATTAGTCTGTGATATTACTTTAACATGATCTATTGATTTGATGACAATATCATTGGATAAAGATAAGAAATCAAGAATTAATTCAATATTCAATTGATTCTGTTTTCATATAATATCTCGAATTCAATATAATATTAAATGTTTCACTCTTGATCTATTGTCAATAGATCGTATTCATTACACTGGCAATTATTGTAAACTCTATAAGTTTACTCTGGTTAACCTTCAATTTGAATTGACATCTCATGTTTTCACTGATTTGTAATCAAATTTTTCAATTTTCAAATAGGAAAACAATTCTGTATCATTTATTCATATTGTCCAAAATTAGATTTCTAATCTTGTCATAAACATTTTTGTTATGATCTTTAATACATTCATAAATTTACTTCATGTCGACTTCAATTTACAAGACGATCTTCGGTATCTACTGTCATCACTAATTAATTTACTGTCGTCTATATGTTATTCATCAATTGATGTCTATTTGAACGTTAGAGTACACACTTTTGACGATTGTCTTTGTTTATTTGGTGAATATTTTAGTTGATTACATACATTTATTGTCAAAGTTAATGAAAGTAAGAGTTTGTCAATGATTCATAATGATAAACTAAAGAATTTCGAATCATAATAAATGGATTAAATATTGAAAAAATGGACTCATGAAACGATATATTACTGTAATATCTATGTGAGAAATGTAAGAATAGAGAGTTCTAGAATTTCACTACTAAGACTTTCGCCAATTTGACTGTGAATTAGATGTGAATTAAAAAAAATTCCTAACAATTACATTGATAGATTAAGTTCATCTATGCCGCCGTTTCAGATAATAATTGTTCGATAAATGCCTGTCATAACTTGCGTTACTGTATTATCCTTTCAGATCACTGAAGCAACAACGTTGCCAGTGAATCCAGGGTGTGACTGCGAGTCATCTTTTTAACTCACACTCCATATCGTGAAGAAGAAGAAGAAAAAAAAAACAAAAAAAATAATCAAAAACAATGATACAACTTGGATTAATAATTAAGAAACCAAAGAAGAAAACCAATACAGAAAAATTACATGAGATTAAGAAAAAAAAAAAAGTACAAAATAGAATTTTCTTATCGTAATGATGGCGGCGGTGGAGAAGGTGCTCTAGGTAATGGAGGTGTAAGAGCAAGATTATAATTTTGATAATATTGTTGTTGATATGCATTTTGATAATACATAGCAGCATTATATTGATTCCATTGTTGTTGATTTGAATAGTTTTGTTGTTGTTGAGAATTTAGCCACGATATTAATTAAGTATTATTACTTGAACTTCCCACATTTATCATTAAAGCTGGAATATGTTAAGCTCGATAAGAATTATATTCAACGTATGATGAATAATTATTATTTCGATTTGTTCCTCGTAAAAAATGATAACCATCGAATACATCATTATTATTATAACTAGGATCTGTTGAACTAAATGATGTATTTGAATGACTTAATGGATTATTCGTTCGATTATTATTATTATTTGGATTAAGTGACATTAATGAAGGAAGAGTCTAAAAAAAAAGAAGATGAAGGATTCAAATATAATTTACTAATATCATTTAATATACTCAATTCTAAAATATTATGTGTCGTGCAAATTAGAACTTCTAATTTGTTTTTATTAAAATAAAAAAATAATTGTGATTTTCCTCGATTTTTAAGTTAGAAAGATAAACAAAACTTCAAATGCTCGATTCTAATGAATTTATTGAGTATTCGATCATATGATAGATTCGCATGGAAAGTTACTATTAAGATAACAAACATATTACATTATAGAACGGATAGTCCATAAATAATAGAACAGTTTAATTTTCCATTTTTGAAGAACGGAAACACTGTTTAAAAGCATCAGTTTAAGCTCATTCGATAGAGAACTTTTCGCTTTAAAAACATGTAGACTTTGTTTTTTTCAAATAAGTTTTTCTTGTCGATGAAAAATTAGAAAGATTGACGGCTGTTTCACTGACTAACTGTGATCTTCTGCTTTTTTCTGAGGATAGCTAACGATTTGTTCAAGCTTGTACTCATCAAGTTCGATGCTAAATGTAAAGTATTTAGCATCAATAGATAGAGAATCATATGCTCTATGCTTCCAAGATCTTTTTATGACTTCTAATGATGTCATTCATGCACAAAAAGCTTGAAACGAACATCTGGTAGTATTTTATCTTGAATATGCTGTTGAAACTCGTGTTTTCAATAGTTATCATGTTCTATGAACGGTTGATCATTATATCATTGGATACAGTATTTAATTCTGAGCAAAAAGTTTTTTCTGTCATTTTCTAATTTTTGCTTGAAAAATTGCTCTTTCAATGGTTTTTTTCTAAAATTGCGAAACATTGCAAGATGGAGCCTTTTACAGTATATCTTGCATCATATTTCGAATTTCGGTGGAATTGTTATTTAAATATATTTTTAATAATTGTTTTATTTTCTGATGATCGGAATTCAATCGCTGAGTAGCTATTAATCTTTTCGATTTTTTCTGCGACAGGAGAAACTTATTTGAAGAACAATATTGACCAATTTGTATAGTGAAAAATTCTCTATCGAATGAGCTTTAACTGGTGTCTTTAAACTGTGCTACTGTCTTCAAAGTGTTCCATTCTTTATGAATTATCCATTATAACGAATATTATCCATTCATGATAAAATAAATATTAATTGCTCTTTTTTTAAACTAACTAACGATATCTAGTAAAGTTTATTAATAATAATCTTATCCTTACATAATTACTGTTCGTATTCATTGAACCATTACTATTAAATGAAACTGTACCAACTGTTGTAACAGTTCTATTACTATCTGTTATTGATAAAGATGTTTCACCTATAATAGCTAATGTAGGTCCAGTTGTTTTAGATCCAGTCATTAAATTTCGTTGATCATCTAATGATAAAGTATTTATATTTGTATTTGTATTTTTTTACCCATTAATTCATTCATTAATGATTGATACTAAAATATAAAAATAAAAATTCTTATGAAATATATATATGTTTTTTTTTTTTTATTTTATCATAAAACTAACTTCACAATCAAGTTTTTGTTGTTTTTGTCGATTTTCATTAATTGCAAGTGGTCCAACAGGATTTAATTTAGTATGAGTACTATTTGATTTTGTTTTACAAAATTTACAATTGGTTGTTAAATGACCAGCTCCATAACAAATTGTACATATTATTGTATTTGTAACAATATTTTCTGCTTCATTTATTAAATTTAGTTTCCTATTAAAAACAAATGAAATATTAAAATTATTTAATAATAATAATAGATAAAAATTTAGATAAGACAATCATTTTCACGTAATGTTCCATTAAGTAAAGCTAATTGTCGAAATTGTTGTTTACGTAATTCATTTAATCCTTCTGCTGCATCGATACTTTTATTTATTATTTTTTAAACCTGAAATATTAATTTTTGTTTTACTTCTAGATTTATAGAACAAATCTTTTTTTTTTTTATGTGTGTGTGTGTGTGTGTGTTTACTTTTTCTACTACTTTCGTAACTATTTCAGGTGAATTACCAGTAATATAAGCATGTAATGGTTCGTCTTCACCTGATAATGAAGCATGTTTGACTAAACCCATCTTTCCATCTTTTACAGATCCTTTACATTCAAAAAAAAAAATGTGATATTTGTAGCTAAGAATCTATAGATAATAGAATTTTAACCTCGAATGATAATTTTTGCATTAGTCTAAATGTATCAGAAATAGGTCATATTAAAAAAAAATCAGAAAATAAACATACTTCTTTTTCTAACATTTTAAGTGTATTACCATGTGGTCCAATAATTAAACTAACAAAATTTACATCTGGATGATCTTCTTGTTGAATCATCACTTTATCCATATATTTCATTTGTTGAGGTCTAAATAAATTCAATGTTAATAAAACAAAAATATTTCATATAAGACAAATATAACAGAATTCTAAGAATAATTCCATAGGTCGTTTTCAGATAAAGTAATGTATTAATTAAATGATACTAACTTATAATCTCCTGGAGATTTATAATCTAGATTCAGTACAATTAATTCTGTAATAAATTGATGGCGTTGATCTTCAATTTTACGTCTTGTACGAACTTCACGAGTATTTTGTCTTTTTCCTTGTTGATCATAAATTGATTCAGGTGATGGAGATCTAAAATAATTAATAAATATTTTTCTTTTGTTTTCTATACATGAGAATATAGCGCACTCTACTGTTTAGAAAACAGTACTAGAAAATAAAACGGTAAAAAAATATTAGTTTTTAACTTGCGAGCAAAATAATAAGATAGAGATTTATACTAAATACAAATATATTTGTTTTTTGTTCGATTTTATTTTCTCACCTTTCACTCAATTCAATTTTGATATATATTCAACGTCACATATACACAAGACAATAATATTAGAAAAAGGAAGACGATTTTATTATTAGAGAAAAATTAACAATGAAATATAGAGTACATTTCTTTGTAGATCTTGTATATTAGAAGATTTTTTGTATCACTAAATAAAAGGAATATAAACCAAAAAAAAAAATATTCAAAAGAAAAATCCATAATGGAAAAGAGGAAGGAGGAAGAGCCTTATGAAAAATTAAATGAATATGTAACACATTTAACCTGTTTCCAGGATTCGATGAAATATATAAATCATTCATTTTTAGACAACATGTTAATTCTTCAATTTATAATTGTACTGAAAAAAAAACAACACAATATCTTTAATATAAATAAAAATAAAAGAATAATTTACAAATATATATTTTTTGTTGTTCTTCTATCATATTCGAAGTTGAAATTGTTATTGAGATATTAGGTAAAAAAACCTTTTCAGTTTCATTACCAATCCAATGTCTTTTACGTCGTTTTTTAATTTGTGTATTAGAACTTATTGAATCAGCTAAAAGAAAAAAAATTTATGAACATTCTGAAATCGAATGAAGATTTTTACATGGTGATTCATCTCCTGTTGGTGTTTTTATTGTTATTTCTTCTTCTTGTGATTTGTTAACAGAATTATTCTCATTGTCATTAGTTATTTCTTCTTTTTTTTATTTGAAACATTCGATGATAATGATGAATTGCTATCATTTGTTTTTTGTGATTGTTTATGATTTTTTTTTTTTTTTTTTGTGTCTTGTTGAAGGATTTTGACTACGTGAATGAGGACTACAAGATGATATACTAAATGATATAATAATAAGGAAGAAATTAATCTATAAATATAGGAAATGTATTATGGAATGAATAAAATTACCAAAAAACAAAACATCAACTTCTAGCATTCATTTTTTTGGCTTGATTTCCTCTTCTCTTATAAATATAATAGATTGGATAAGTTGATTATTGTGGTGCAGAGATGTCCATCGCGCCGCCGTCGCGGTAGGTTTTTTTTATAGATTAGCGCGGCGCGGCAGATCAGTCATAACGGTACCGCGGCAGTGGCTTTTCATTTTTTTAGCCACCGCGGCACGATTGTTTTTACAGAAATTTACTCTATAATTCTAAAAAATTTCCAGCTTAACAGCTGAAAATTTTCTATATTATTTTTCTTTTCTAATTATGTCGCTTGAGCCTTCTAATCATCTCCAAAGTCACACAAATTGTCATTTTTCTTTGAACTGAAGCTATTACATGATAAACTATAAAGCTACCATTTCCTTCAGATTCTTTCGTTGTTCCATGAAGAACTTAAATAGTCTACGTAATCTCAGAAGCTATACTTGCTCTATATGTACTTAGAAGTTATTTGATACTATAGCATCTAAACTGTTATTCCTCATTGATTTTGAGTGAAAACCAGACTGCATGACTATTGTAGACCGGCAAATGGCATTTTTTCTTCATGTAATGGTAGTAGCGGTGCTGTAACCTTTTCTTCAAATATCGCTGCAATAACGGCAATGTTTTTAGTATGTTGAGATGCAAGAGCACCGCGGCAACATGTATTTTATATAATACAGCGGCATGACTGCTTTAGATTTTATACCACACCGGAGCGGCAGCTTACACCTTTTATATCATCCTAGCGCGGCAGCGGCAGGTTTTCAGCCGCGATGGACATCTCTGGGGTGTGGGTGTGAGTGCCTTTTCTAATCTACACCCACACCCACACCCACGTTCTAAACTAGCTATAATATCTTGTTTTTGTATTGAATGTCGTCGAACATAATCATTCATTAATAAATGAAAAATTTTAAGTGAATGTGAAAATGTTGCAAGAACATCAAAACGAAACATTCGTGCTAAAACAAAACTACCAGCACGTAAATGTGCACGAGCATCTTCTTGATCACCAGAAAATGTATTTAATATTTGATATATTTCATCTAAAGCTTCTTCACGTCGAGCATGATTTCGATGATAAAGTTTACCAATCTTTAAAAAAGAAAAAAAAAGAATATCTTAATCGAAAATAAGAATAAAAAAATTGTTCATTAATAATTTTTATTTTTCTAGAAAATCGAAAAGACTTCTCGTATAACAATAAATATCAAATGAAGTTTTATTATACTATCAGTTAGATATTACATGAAATGATACTTATCAATTATTGAGACAAATGAATTAGGAACATGTAGTTTCAGCTTACTGACTATCGACTCACAAGGGGAATTTCTTCAGCTGCCACCTTTCAATTTCAACAATACTACATAGTAGTATTTTAATTAAAAAAAAAAACAATCCGAAAAAGGATTTGGATTAGACATGTGCGGGACCAGTCCCGGTCCCGGTAGCCGGGACCGGGACCAAAAAATAGAATTTTACCGGGACCGCGACCGGGACCGGGACCAAAAAATAGAATTTTACTGGGACCGGGACCAGGATCGAAAAACAATTTAGTCCCGGTCATGTTTGTCGTTGATAAGAAACATCGGCGGAAATAGAAGTGAGAACTGCTCCAGATCTAAAACCGGCAGATTCTGCAACAACTTCTCTGACTATGGACAAATAACAGAAAAAGTAAGGTTACTTAGACTGGGTGTGGAACAAAAACCAAATTTAACACATTCGACGCGATTCGGTTTTATTAAAGAGTAGCTCTAGAGATTCATTTTCTTCTGCATTCATCTTGCGATAAATGCACTGCTTGGTCTTTTCATCCTATACTGATCTGTCGTTTTCTCTCTTCCATTTGTAATATCACATGTAGCGAAGTAACCATCCTGTAGTTTGGCGAAACTCCTGTGAGGTCATTTCAGCATGACATGCCATTCGAGAAGTTGAATCAGCAACCCAATTCAAGCGCGAATTCACTAATCGCAAGCTCGAAGAAAAGGAAGGATTTAAGGGCAATGTCCGCAGACGCTGTACTGGCTGCTTTGCGAAAGGAAGGGCACAACAGTCAAGAGAAGCGAGCTATGCGGTAGCAAAAGTAAAAACGTTCTGTTGTGAGTAACAATTTTTTTTGTCTTGATTTTTTTAACAAGACCCATCATGCTATGAAATAACGGACTCAAAAAGAGCTCTGAAGGCAGAACAGATAAAGCATTATGTTCAGCCTCGTGTCTAAGAACAAAGAAAAATAAAGTACTTTTCTATACAGTTTCTCGTTAAAATGTAGCGTGGCTCACTGTTAGGCCACATCGTAGCGAATGTGTTAACTGAGCCCAGGACTAAAAAACAGAATTTCGCCGGAATCAGCAGCAAAAGGAAAATTTCCACCGGGACCGGGACCAAATGAAAATTTTCACCGGGACCCAAACCGGGACCAAAAAAAAATTTACCAGGACCAGGACCGGGACCAAAAAAAGTTGGTCCCGCACATGTCTAGTCAGGAGCATGATCTCATGCTGGCCATATTGAAAATTTAATTTCAAATAACTTTTGATAGGATCATGATAAAAAGTTGCGACTTTCACCATTCAAAAGAGTCTCTGTTACTTCACAGTTCCATGTACTATTCAACAGTACTGCTTGTTGTCATGGTAATCAATCAGTGGTCTTCGGTAAAATACTGGTAGCTCTATGAAAATTACATCGAAGTTCAATTCTACAGAGTACGTTAGAATCGCGCACCTATGAATCACCCTCGTCATTATCGCTATCTAGTATTGCATCTAAAACTCTCTATCGAAAGAAGATAATAGGTTCCGTTGTTGGCGTTAGTTTAGATCGTGAATACACGAATCGAAGCCGCTTTGTTGAATTGAACTTCGATGTCTTTTTCATAGAGTTATCAAAATCTTGCTAAAGATCACTAATTGATTAGTAGGTTAACAATCTGTATTGTTGAATAGTACATAGAACTTCCTAGTAACAGATCCTGTTTTGAATGGTTGAAACTCGCAGCTTTTTATCTTGATCCTATCAAAAGTTATTCAAAATTAAAAACTATCCGGTGACTTTTGGTCCACCTTGTATATTCTACAAGAGGAGATTTCAGTATGATAAAAACTTAATTTCGATGTTTTTGTCGAAAATAAAAAGAAACACGGATTCCCTGACAAGAAAAGTTCTGCGACTAATAAATTGCTATTGAGTCGAGACTATGTGCATTATGTAAACCCAAATGAACTATGAATATCCTCAAAAAGAATTCGTGCCCTTAGTTTATTCTCATTAAAACCTGTATCTATGCAAAGTTTC